AGTAAAGAAAATTTCAGTTCTCATTGTCTCTTGGTCTATAGAGCTTTATAGGACGCTGGTTTAGTGGTTGGATTGGTCTTGCATTGGTGTCTGAGTCCTGTAATCATTAAAGCAGTTGTAAGAAAATCACAAAAAGAAAAAGAGAAGCATAGACTATAAACAGATTTTTCTATTAAAATGTAAGAGTTCTACAGAAATATTCTGTAGGTAAATTTGATTAGAAACTTACATCATGTACAGCTTCACGAATCAGTTTTACTTGTTCTCTTGAAACGGTCCTTACCTTAAAAAATATCGAGACACAATTAGATAATTTCTAACATGTTTGGCACGTTTGGCCGAGCAACACTTGATAGGACTAAGGAATAAAAATAAGTTAAAATCTTGTTCTTGTCCTATAAAATGTTGTCGTCCAGTAATTATCTAGAGTGATGGAGCGTACCTTTCTCAAAATTGTCCAACTAATATCTTGAGTACAAGGAGGAACTGTAAGTGAACCAATGTACCTGTAATACTTTCTACTGCCTAGTTTAATAAGTTTTGGGTCAATAATACCCACTGCTCTCTCAACATTACGCGTATCAACAAGAGCTTTCAAATCTTGCTCCATCTAATATATAAAAATTGAATGGTATAAGAAATCAACTGAAAATACTTGCAAACAAATATGTTTGTAGACACAGTGTAATTTACGGTTAATTACCATGGAGAAGAAGGAGTCAGGGCGTCCAATTTTGTACATGATTCCAATCACAGCAGTCCTATTATCCATGCTCTCATGGACCAAGTGAATCTCCATATCGAACCTGTAGCCGAATGTTGTAATATGTTTTTTATATTATGAAAAATTTTAAAAAATATTATTAAGAAATGGATTCATGTTTTGGATAGGAAATTAATTTTTTTTTTTTTGAAGTACCTCCTGCCATTGAGAGTGTGTTCTGAAGGTGAATGCCAATGACATTGTTTAAGTTGGTATAGTGTTCCACTTATCTGAATACTCCCTGCACCAGCTTCCCAACTTAACTGCATTCATAAGTACTATTCAATAACAAGGAAACCCTATACAAGATTGTGAAAAAAAACTGGACAATATATATAACCACCGGATATATAAAATACAATATAAATATCTTAGGTTATTAAAACTTACCATCATATCATGACCTCTGTTAATTAGGGTGGCATTGGAGGGTTTATAATTCCTTTTAAGCCTCCCCAAGTGAGATACAACTTCAACCCTTTCATTCAGCAGATCAATGGGAGACTGCATTGAGCCAGAATTGCACATCCACCATACTGGCTTAATCTCTCCCCAGAGCGCCGGACCGGTTTCGCTATCTTCTTCNACAACTTCAACCCTTTCATTCAGCAGATCAATGTTAGACAGCATTGAGCCAGATCTGCACATCCACCATTCTGGCTTAATCTCTCCCCAGTGCGCCGGACCGGTTTCGCTATCTTCTTCATAACTAAACTCGCTCTCATCATCTGCAATAAAAAAAAATGAAATAAATCAATCATCAAAGAAGAAGAAACAAATGGAAAAAGAACAAGAGACGAGAGAGCAAGCTATGCATGCATAATAATGGTTTCTGTCATAATTTTTCAACACTACTTACCAACTTCTTGTGCTCTTGTTAAGCATGAAAACGAAACTAAAACAAGAACAATCAAGAACCTCTGAAAAAAAGTTATTGTTTTAAGGTTATTCATTTCTGATTTCTTTCTCCCACAATATGTATTTGAGAAATAAGGAGTTGTTAAGGACGAGGGTTAAATATGTACAAAGTAGTAATGACTGTTCAGAGGAAGTAGTTCATTTGGTGTTGACATTCATGTAGTCCATTGTGAGAAATTTCGTCCCAGTTTGGGATTCATTAAAATGAGTTTTTGAAGGAAAATGTGTTTTGAAATAGTGATTTTTTGGAGAATGTGTAATTAAAGAATAAAAATAATAATTTCACTAAAATGAGATTTTGAAAAAAAAAAAAAAGTGTTTTGAAATAGTAATTTTTTGGAGAATGTATAATTACAAAATAAAAAAATAATTTAATTTACGTAGAATAACGTAATTGAGAATGAGTTTTCAAAATATGTATTTTCGAGAAAAAAAACATATCCGAAACAAGAGCTTCATTTTGAGGTGGCAGAATTATACTTGGGACAAGACTTCTGGAATGGTCGCTTGAAGCCATTCTCCTTTTCCACTTCTTTTGCGAAAAAACAATTAATAGACGTCAATGCTGACGATTCGTGTAGAAAAAGGTTCAGGAAAACTTGTTTCAGGTCCTTAGCGGTCTGACATTCAAAAGATTTGTTTGAGAAACTACCGTCTTGTTTGCTTCTGAGGTGGAGAAAAGTCAGATGAATTATTATTATTCTATATTATCATTATTAAGATGTAGAATATTTTAATGATATTATTCTTTGAATGGGCATTTACCACCCACCCACAATGAATTTTGTGTTATAATTTTTATTACGTTGAGGTATGAACTTTGAATATTGGCTATGGAAAATAGGAACAAGGGTGAATAATGTCCTCGGTTGTTGGTTATTGAATTAATTTAGTAAAAAAATATAAACATTCAAAGCTTGTTTATATCACTTGAAAATATGTTCAAGATTGTGATCTTTCGGTCAATGGAAAAACGTGTGCGCTTGTTTATATCACTTGAAAATATTTGCTATGCTCAAATTTGATATGAATAAAATAATTATACAATAAAATTAAGAGTTCATAGATAATATCTAATTTAATGTATTCAATATATCGTTAAGAGTCATCGTTACATGCATAGATTTACAAATAATATCGACATATATCTTCCTCGATAGTCAATCTTTGGATCTAGGGGTGGACAAAAAAAATTGAAAAATAGATTAAACCGACTAAACCAAATCGAGTTGGGTCGGGTCGGGTCGGGTCGGGTCGGTTTGAACCAAAAAATCGGTTTCGTTCAATTAATTTTAACCATTATAAAGTCGGGTTGTGTTGGTTGCGGTTTAAGCAACCAAACCGCAACAAACCCG